GGAAGAAAAATGGAGAAATCCTTCATGAAAAGGAAGTACATTGGGTTGAATGTAGCTGACCTTCAAGATTAAAAAGCTTCAGAAGTCTGAAAGCCTTGCTATGTGTACACTCTATTTAAACGTGTGTTTTGCGGCCTCCCTTCTCCTTCGGGTGGCTAAGTTCTTAAAAGACTACTGGGTGATTCAATGCTGGGTCCAGGATTTCACCATGAACTAGACGAGCGTCTGTCTACAGACGGAAGGTAAACTAAGTGTCTGTACGTGTTGGCCGCGTACAGGAGGCAGGGTGAGCCGGAAGTGCCTGTGCGTGTTGGCCGTGTACAGGAGGCAGGGTGAGCCGGAAGTGCTTGTGCGTGTTGGCTGTGTACAGGAGGCAGGGTGAGCCGGAAGTGCCTGTGTGTGTTGGCCGTATACAGGAGGCAGGGTGAGCCGGAAGTGCCTGTGCGCGTTGGCCGTGTACAGGGTGCAGGGTGAGCCGGAGGTGCCTGTGCGCGTTGGCCGTGTACAGGGTGCAGGGTGAGCCGGAAGTGCCTGTGCGCGTTGGCCGTGTACAGGAGGCAGGGTGAGCCGGAAGTGCCTGTACGAGTTGGCCGTGTACAGGAGGCAGGTGAGCCGGAAGTGCCTGTGCTGGGGCTGGAGCTCTGCTGTGAAGAGCAAGGCCAGGACTTTCCCCATTTCACTCCGTTCCCTTCAAAGGGCTCCTGACTTGTATGAGGCTGTGAGCCGAGAGGAATGGAGGCGCGAGACCAAAGCTGAGTCGCCTCCTTTTCTGCCTCTCAAGGTCCTGTGACATTGGACAAGCAGCCTCCCAGTCTAAGCTGAGTGGTTCCCTGAGCTCCCATTACATGAGAAAAGCAGATGCTGAGCGTAAACTACGCAGAGCAACTGGATTGCAACCTTTGTTTCTCTTAACTTTTGTCTCCTGACCCCCACCTAATCCACAAACTGCCTTTAAAAAAAAAAAAAGATTGATTTATTTATTTGAATGTCAGAGAGAGAGGAGAGGAAAAGAGAGAGAGAGAGAGGTCTTCCATATGCTGGTTCACTCCCCAGATGGCCGCAATGGCCTGAGCTGTGCTGATCAGAAGCCAGAAGCCAGGAGCTTCTTTCAGAAGACCAAGGACTTGGGCCATCTTCTACTGCTTTCCCAGGCCATAATAGAGAGCTGGATTGGAAGTGGAGCAGCCGGGACTTGAACCAGCACCATATGGGATGCCAGCACTGCAGGCAGTGGCTTTACCTGCTATGCCACAGCGCCAGCCCTGCACGAACTGTGGTTAAAGTGATGAGATGCAAAACCCCAAAGTTGATCTCATACTGTCTCCTTATCAGTCACTGCAGAAAACCGGAGGTCACAGGAATTGCCTGCGGCCTAATCCAATGAAGCATACTCAAACTAACCTCAACTTTCCATTTTAGACTCAACAGAGGGCCTGCAGTTGACCTTGGAAGTTAGACTTTCCTCCCTCCCCATCCCCATACATCAGCATCGGCTGGTACACTGCTTTTCTTATAGAGATTTCCTACCTGAGGTCAGAATTACCTTAATTGTATTCCACAGATAGGCCAAGGTTAGCATATTCCCCAGCCCAGAAGAGCTTTTGGGTGGCAGCAGAAGTTATTAGGCTGACTGATCCCAGGCCTAGCTGTCACTGGCTTATGTGAGCCCGGGCTAGCTCCCCACTTCTCAGGACCCCAATTCTCTCTCTTACCAACTTAATGGGGTAAAGTGGGGAGAATCAAAGGTCTCCACTAGCAGTAGAGAGCTGGGTCTATAGTTTAATCAAGACCTGGAAGTGTCCTGCTGAGCTTTGCCGCTGAGTCCCCAGGACGGAATGCATCAGTTCTGTGAGCAGCCCTTGCAGGGGAGCCTCCCGTAAGCTTGGCGCAAGGGACTCCAAGAAAGGAGCCCTCCTCTCCTTGAGGGCTGGTCATTGTCAGTGCAGTTGATCTTTGGTTTTACAAGAGCAAACTGGCAGACACTCCACTGCGGGGGTCCTGATCTGGAGAATTGCTGCTGCCATCACCAGCCTTCCTCTCTCGTTTACTTAGTAAACGCCAGGCTAGATGTCTTCATTTCATGGAAATGGCAGGTGTTTGGGCGATTTCAGCTTCTCTCCAATGCACAGCTTGAGGTTTCCTATCAGGTGCCCTCTGGACCCTGGGTGGGACATCGCCCTCTGTGCCCCTTGAGGCAATGACTTGCATGATGGCTTCGTGCTGAGGCCACCCGACCCCCAGAACCTACCCTCGCCCCTACCTGCCCCGGCAGCATCCCTGGCTCCTTCCGAGGGAGGCTCCCTGAGATCCCTCTAAGAGGAAACGGACCCTCAAACCAGTTCTTTGGCTGCCCCCTCTTAAGTTTCTCCAATCAGGGTCACGCTTCCCCTCTTGCAATCCTTTCTGTGCCTCCCTCCACTTACACACATTTTCTGAAAGACTCTTCAGTCTCAAGTTTTCCAAGTGATTCATTCCTTTCCAGAAGGTCACCAGTGTCCTGGCTGCCTCAGGGAAATCTGGGGGTAACCCAGCTGCATCAATTCCCAGTTTAGTGTCCCGGGGGGGGGGGGTTCTCAGATTGGGAGGGCGGGGAGTGCTACCAGCTGCTCCTAAAGCCTGCACTCAGGGCCTGCGCTGCGCACGCCCTCCTCCTGCCCCCCCGCCCCGCCCCTTGCAAGCAGGTGTGAGAGGCTTCGCTCAGCATGGCTCCCACTTCCTGCCCCTGCATCCCTGTTAGCTCTGACTGCAGATCCTGACACTGCTGCCCAGTGGCCCAGCGACAGCTCCTGAGACCACCACGCACTCCTCATGGTCTCCCACCCCCATTTCTGAGACTTTAGGGCTCATGCTGGTTGCTGGATGTTTGTTGTATCATTCCCTCTACATCCTTAGGAATCTGAATTACTTAATTATAGTAAATGCAAAGGTTTGGGTCTAGTTGATCACTTTTAGCTCTGCTTAATGGAAGCATTGCTTCTTTGAGGAGATACCACTTATTGAGTTTTTTTTCCCTAATGCTACATTTTCTCATCTGGCTAATGGAGACAATAAAAAGTCATTCCACATTAAGTGATCACTTACGTACTGAGATATTTAAAAATTACCTTGAATCAAAAAAAAAAGGGCAAGTGTGTCTTCAATTTCATTTTAAAGAGATTGGACTTGATGAATACAAGTTCTTAATCAAATTTTAGAAAATATCTTTTGTTCATTTTGGCAGATACTTGTTCAACATTGTATTAGGTAGGCCATGTTCCATTAGGAGTCCTGGAGGGTACAAATTACAATAACAGGCTCTGGGAGAGGCGCTTGGTGCAGGGGTTAAGGCAACACTTGGCATGTCTGCATCCCCTGTCAGAACGCCTGAGTTTCAGTCCCACCCCTGCTTCCAATTCCAGCTTACTGCTAATGCACACCCTGGAGGCAGTAGGGACAGCTCAAGTACTTGGGTCCTTGCCACCAAATGGGAGATCTGTATCTAGTTCCTGGTTCCAGGCTTCCACCTCGCCCTGCTCTGACTGTAGTGGACACTTGGGAAGTGAACCAGTGGGTGGAAGACCTCTCTGTCTCTGTCTGTCTGCCTTTCAAATAGATAAATAGATAGTCCCATGCCATTAAGAGGCTTACAATGAAATAAGGAGATAATAAAAATGCATATACTAGCAGGTAACATTTTTGGAGACTAATGCATGAGATAAACAATCTATTCATCAAGAGTTAAAGGCTATCCATGACTCAGGCAGAATTAGAATTCTCAGAGGCAGAATGATGAATTTAACAGGACACATATCAGAGAAATAGGCGGACCAGGCCTACTTTTGAAGCTTGCTAATCTGCACAAAATAATTAGAAAAATCGGATACAACAACCTAAATTTTTATAGTGTGCATGGATTTCAAAAATATTTGCATTGAAATAAACTTGTCTTTTAATTCCATAAAATTTTTATTTCTTTATTTCAAAGGCAGATAGAAAGAGAGCTCCCATCCTCTGGTTCACTCTCCAAATGCCAACCACGGCCAGGCTGAGCCAAACCTGGGAGCTGGGAATGCAATCTGGGTCTCCTTTGTAGGTGGCAGGAACCCATGTACTTGTGTCATCACCAGTGCCTCCTAGGGCCTGCATGAGCAGGAAGCTGGAGTCAGGAGCCAGAACCGGGAACTGAACCTGGGCGCTCCTATGTGGGATGCTAGGCTAACTGCCTGTTCCCACAAGCTTTTTGAGCTGATTGAAATTTAGAGAAGGAAATCCCCAGGAAGAAGACATTTATAGAATATTCAAAATCAATGTAATGAGCAAGAGCTAAACCCAGTGACCTATGAAGGAAACAGAATGTGGTAAATCCCCGATGGGATCCTTGGTCGTGGCACATACCAGGGTTCTGGGTTTGAATCTAAAGTCTCAGAAAATGCTGGCATCCAGAAATTGGCCCTTTAATAAATCTGAAAGCAATTCTATGAAGAGGAAACTAGAATACTCTCTCCACCAAGGCAGTGAGGCCACGCAAGAGCAGGCCAAGGACTCGGCTGCGGAGAAACCGAGGCAGGAAGCTCACCTGGGAACCTTGCTGCGGCTGCCGTATGAATTTGCATTAATCTGACCGTGTGGAAAGCCCCATCTGCTACGTTCTTATATAATCTGAAACCCCTGGGGCCCTCGCAGAGCCAAACACCCTCCGGCCCCAGAGAGACATCTCCATCGACCTGCCTGCTTCATTCCGGGGGCAGCCACTCCCAGAAAAGATGAATCCTTGGTGAAATTCAATGTATCATCCACAGGAGGAGATGAAGAAGTAGAAAACAGTCAGCTGAGGCATGGCAGCCAAAGACACACAGAGAACAGAAAAACACGGCAATGCCTGAAGTTAGAGGTCTTCACAGTGTTCCAAGGCAAGGAAGGAGGAAACCCCAATACAAGAAGAAAGGGATCAAACCTGTCCAGGAGAGGACCAATCAGAAATTCTGAACTTTACAAAGTTAGTAATCACACTTCCTCCTCCAGGCAGACAGCAGAACGAGTACGAGGGTGCCCTGCCCTCGACAGTGAGTGAGCCATATAAAATATGCAGAGCAGTGGTTTCCAGAAGGCCAACCTGAGCCAGGGGAGAACCAGGAGCCCCACACTGCTTTCTGCGCAGCGGAGAGAGGGACAGTCCGCGCAGAGTGCAGAAGGCTCCTGGACGTGAAGAGACAGAGACCAAGTGCCAGGGAGTCACAGGTGGCCAGCATTATCTAGACACAGTGCTTCGTAGAGAGAGCTACAGACAGAAAGAGCTCCAGAGACCCGAGGGCCGCCGTGACGCAGGCATTGTACAAGAGCCGGCGCAGGGCTGCTATCCTGGAGACAGGGGGAGCCTCACCATGCAACCGGCTTGCAACCTGGAGATGGTTACCAGGCAACAGCCCAGAGGCCACCCGTCTCCCTGAGCGCAGGAGACAGAGCAGGGTGGCTGGGATGTGCAGGGCCAGGTGTCAGAGAGGAAGGCTCTGCAGAGACCTACAGATAGGTGCTCTCAAATCTTTGGCTAGGTACTATCAACACACGCACAGGCAATTTCCTGAGACCAGAGAATTGGTCACCAGAAAGACGTAGGCAGAACGTTCTTGAAACTCAGCGAGGCTGGGGAGAATTTGTGTTCTCACTGGCTAGAATGAGAAGGCCTCATAACTCATGGGGCAGCAGGTAGAAACCCAAAAGGCTATTGCCTTAGCATTGAAGTTAGCTCTAGGCTGTTCTGAATCTGCTTAACACAGCTTAAGAACAGGAAAACATCTGACACAGTATTTTATGTCTTTTTTTTTTGCAGTAAAATAGGCATAACAAAAGTGTATTATTTTAATTCTTTTTAGGCATACAATTCAGTGGCATTAAGTACATTTGCTATGATGTACAACCATCATCATTATCCATTTCAAGAACTTTCTAATCTATCCATTAAGCAATAACTCCCCATTCTCCACCTTCTTCCAGCCCTTGGTAAGCTCTGTCCTACTTTTCACTCGTACTGATTTGCCTATTCAATGTCCCTCATACAAATGGAATCACACAGCATTTGCTTTTTGGTGTCTAACTTATTCCACTAAGCATGCTTCCAGAGTTCATTCACACTGTGGCGTGTATCAGAACATCATTCATTTTCACAGCCGAATATTCCATTTTCCAAATACACCACCTTTTAAACATCCACTCTCTGTTGCTGGACATTTGCTTTGTTTGGCTGTTGTGAACACTGCTGTGCTGAACGTGGGTGCACAGGTATCTGTTAAAGTTCCTACTATCAATCCTTTTGAGTCCTGCACCTAGAAGTGGAAACGCAGGGTTATATAATAATTCTGTGTTTAACTTCAAGAAAATGCCAGACTGTCTCCCACCTGTAGTCTCACCATTTTACATTCCCACCGGCAATACAGAAGGGTTCCAATTCCTCAGCACCATTTTTAATATATTAATCTTAAATTAAATATATTAATTAGTGGTGGAAAATTTTACTTCCTTTCTTCTAATGTCCTCCACACTCGTGCCAAGGCTGAGGCGCAGTCTGAGGGACTTACACAGGGCATTGGCCACTAGGCCCTTTGATGTGTACGGGTCGTCAGTGAAATGTTCTTTGCCACTGTCTGACACCTTCAGGGCTCACGAGTCTCTGTGGCGTTCACACTGCACTTGAGACATGGGGCATTCTTGTAAGGCAGGGTCCCCAGGGCCTATCAGTTCTGCTCCCTAGATGTAGCGTGCGGCCATTGCCCTCAGTCACTCAAGTCCTCACACTACCAACACGCCCACCCTGTACCCCTGTACAGCGGGCTTTCCTTACCTTTGGGTTCAGCACCCTTGGACTCAGCTACCTGTGGATCAAAAAGATTCAGGAAAAAAAATTGTACAGACTTTTTTTTTTCTTTTCATTATTCCCCAACCAGTAGAGTATAACTACTATTCACATAGCATTGGCTTTGCATTAGGTATTATAAATAGCCTAGAATTGATTTAACCTGTACTGGAGCATGTGTAGGGGTTATTTCAAATACTATACATTTTATTTCATGTGAGGGACTTGAGCATCCTCTGTTTTGACAACACAAGGGTGTCCCAGAACGAATGCGTTGGGATATTGAGGATGACTGTGCTCTGAAACACACAGACTTCTCTTTTAAACACAGGGGATCGCTTTGTTCTCTGGAAGAAGTTTCACTGTCCCTCTTCTGTTTCTTCCAAACTCGTAACTTCTCTTAAACATTTTGCCAACTGTTACATCCTCAAATAAAAGACAGGAGGTCATCCAGCTAACTTCTGCTTTCTGGCCAACCTGGCATCTCCCATGAACAATGATGTAGGGTCAGCATCAGATCAGTTGCGTAGGGGAGGAAATGGAGAAATTGCTCTAGTCAGGGAACAGGGAAGGCCATAAATATTCAAAATATTATCCAGTCAAATCAGACTTAAAACAAATAGAAAAATAATGACTTTTAGGGGCCAGCTGTGGTGCGGCGGGTTAAGCTGCTGCTTGCAATGCCAGCATCCCATATTAGAGCTCCAGTTTGGGTCCCAGCTGCTCTGTTTCTATCCAGCTTCCTGCTAATGTGCCTGGGAAGGCAGTAGATGATCGCCCAAGTGCCTGCAACCCACGTGGGAAACCCAGATGGGTTCTTGGCTCCTGGCTTCAACCTGGCCCAACCCTGGCCATTGTGACCATTTGTGGGAGTGAATCAGTGGATGGAAAATCTGTCATCCGCTGTTGTTCTGCCTTCCAAATAAATAAATAAATTTTTAAAAATAAAAAATGAAAAATTTATACACTTAGAAATTTTGAGAACTGCAGAAGGCATAAAGAAAAATAGAAATTATTTCTAATTACACTACCCAAAGTCAACATTTCAATATATAGGTATGTTCTTTCAGTCTTTTCTCTAAGACAGATATTTCTTTACAACTTGAAGTTCATACAAGCATTTCACAAAGATCATGGAAAAATGGAATTAAAATATATATTTATTTTGGTAAAAATAACTGAAATCCATTAATAATTTTTCCATAATGGGCATTTTCTGTATACTGTTTGAAGACCTCTCATACATGTGGATTTCAGATTCCTTTTCATAAAAATAAGCTTATAATTTAATTACACTTTTCATGAGTTTTTAACATTACTTTCATTTATATTTCTTTCCTGTCAATGTTTCCGTATCCCTTTCTTAGGTAACTAAATAAATTTCATGTAATTTCCAGCAGTTCAGTGTCTTCTCTGCTAGTTCTGAATTTTCTGAATGACATAAAACATGCCTATATACTTCTGATGATTTGTTGTTTAAATTTTTCATTTATTTTATTTATTTGAGGGCAGGAAGATAGAAAGAGAGACATAAAAAAGAAAAATCTTCCATTTTCTGGTTCACTCCCCAAATACCCAGGCTGGGCCGAGCCAAAGACAAGAGCCAAGAGCTTAGTGTGGATTTCCCATGTGGGTGTCACTTGAGCCATCACCACTGTCTCCCAGAATGCACATTAGCAGGAAATGAGAGTAAGTGGTGGAGTTGGGAATCAATCTCGGGCACTCTGATACGGGCTGTGGGCAAACCAGGTGGCATCGTCACTACTCCACCTGTCACCCACCCCATGATTATCTGTTTGTTTTTCCCCTGTGGATGCTCTGTGCTCTCCAATACTATAACTACTACATACATGTAGTTATTTAGATTTAAGCTGGTTAAATTTAAACAAAATTGAAAATGTAAGCCAAGTCTCACTAGCCACCATTTAAATATTCAATAGGCACATGATGCTAGTGGCTGTCTTATTAGAGACTGAAGATCTGGAACATTCCATGATTGCAGAAAGTTCTACTGGCCAGTGTGCTCTACATTCCTAACACTGCACCTGCTATCATTTCTCTTATCATGTGGCTCCTACTCTTCTGTTTCCCCAAACATGAAAACCACATTGCTGTTGATTGTGGCTTCTTTTCTTCAGAAAAAAAAAGTATTTTATAAAGATCTGGCAATAGAAGAGGGATATTATTGCAAAAACAAACAAATAAGCAAAAATAGTAAATAAATTAAAAGAAAAGTAAAACTAAGTAAACTAGGTAAATCAATTGTATCAAAAATACAGAGCTCAATAAATTTATGTAAGATGAGAATATCAAACATATAAAAACATAAAATTTACAATGGTTAGCACTGAATCAAAATTTACCAGTCATGGAAATAAGCAAGAAAATGCTGTTCCTGGGGCCGGTGCTGTGGCGCAGTGCAGGCATCCCATGTGGGCGCCGGTTTGAGTCCTGGCTGCTCCAGTTCTCTGCTGTGGCCTGGGAAAGCAATAGAAGATGGCCCAAGTCCTTGGGCCCCTGCACCCATGTGGGAGACCCGGAAGAAGCTCCTGGCTCCTGGCTTCGGACCAGCGAGGCTCTGACCATTGCAGCCAATTAGGGAGTGAACCAGACCTCTCTCTCTTTCTCTCTCTCTCTCTATGTGTAACTCTTTCAAATAAATAAATAAATAAATCTTAAAAAAAATAAGAGAAAATGCTGTTCTTAATGAGGAGATAACATTAATCAATTGAAATCTGCCAGGAACTGACACAGATGTTGAAATGTGTAGACAAGAAGATCAAAACAAACATAGTTAGAGTTCATATGCTACAAAATAAAATTATAGGCATGGAAGGAATTTTTAAAAGACCCAAGTTGAAGTTTTGGAGGTGAAAACCACAATGTCCCAAATTAAACAAATGCTAGAAAAGGCTAACAGTAGATGAGTCATTGTAGAAAAAAGATTAGTAAACATGAAGACATAGTATAGAAACTACCCAAAATTAAACAGAAAGAAAAAAAAAGTTGAACTATCTCTTTCCCCTCCCTTTTAAATTAATTAACAAAATAAAAATACTAATTAAAAAGAGAATCTTAAAAGCAATTAGAGGCCGTCGCTGTGGCTCAATAGGCTAATCCTCTGCCTGAGGCGCCGGCACACCAGGTTCTAGTCTCGGTCGGGGCGCCGGATTCTGTGAATCCACCACATCTTCCAGGCTAGCTCTCTGCTATGGCCCGAGAGTGCAGTGGAGGATGGCCCAAGGACTCACATGGGAGACCAAGAGGAAGCACCTGGCTTTGGATCAGCACGGTGCGCTGGCCATAGCGCGCCGGCCGCGGCAACCATTGGAGGGTGAACCAATGGTAAAGGAAGACCTTTCTCTCTGTCATTCTCTCTCACCGTCCACTCTCCCTGTCAAAAAAAAAAAAAAAAAAAAAAAAAAAAAAAAAAGAAAAAAAAAAGAAGCAATTAGAGATAGCCACTTATGTTCAGGGGAAGAGAGATACAGATACAGTATACACACACACACACACACACACACATGCTGTATGTACCATATATGCTGCAGACTTATGTTAGAGATAATGCCAACAAGAATACAGTACAGCAACAATTAGAAAATACTAGAGGAAAAAACTGGTGATCTATAATTGCAGTGAAAATATCTTTTGTTTTGATAAACAAAAGCAAAATAAAGAATTTTTCAGGCATAGAAAAACTGCATTAATCACCAGCAGACTTACATTATGGGAGAGTAGTAAAGGATAATTTTTAGGAGAAAGGAAAATACTAGATGGAAATAATGACCTATACAAATGAATCGAGAGTACCATAAATGGTAACTGCATGGATAAATACGTAAGTTTTTTCCTTATTATGAAAACACTAAGAGAGATTGGAATTCTGAAATGGATTTTGTGCAAGCAATTCACTTGCCACTGAATTATGTCCCATGAAATCCTGAGGATACAACTTCTCCAAAACTTGAGAAATACTTTGTTTGGAAGACTTCCTGCATTCTTTAAGTCCTCTGCCTTGGGTTTTCTTTGCAAGCCAGAAGTGACACTGGGAAATTCTGCCATTGAAAAGGCCTCTTTGAATTCAGTGGGGCTGATTGGGCCCTGAAGTGGTAAAGACCAAGTAGTAGCATTCATTCAGCAGAGACCAGATGGATGTGGTTATTGTAATTAACACCTCACTCAAAGCAGTAATAAGAATGGTTGGCCACAGATTTCCCTGGTATTGACTAACTGATTGAGGTTGACTGATTCAGATGAATGATGAGCGGAGTTTGACTCAGGGCCACATCATGGTGGAAGATGTGGTCCCTGAACACATTTCATGGCTATTTTCCAATTCTGTAATGTACAGTTGGAATGTCCATACTCAACAGTTTGAAAGCTCTACATACTGTTTTCCAAGTCAGTGAATTGAGGGCTGATCAACACACTGATTTTTTCCCCCCTACTCAGTGTATTTCCCTGGTAGGAAAGGCCAAGTGGAAACTCTCAGCCCTGCTTCTACTTACCAAAAGAGTAAACGAAAAGCAATACCACTTTCCTGGAGTAACTGCAGAGATTAGTGTAACCATCAAAAAACCTGAAACATTCAGAACTTCATTCAGCATCTTCATTCAATTACCTTATGTGACCCAATCAGAAGATAAATGGTCAGGGAAATGATATTGGCTTATCATTAACTTGAAGTATAACTCCAATTGCTAGAGCCAGTCAGTACAGCTCCTCCTGCCTGCTACACAGCTAATGTTCCAAAAAATATTTTTCTTTTTTCTTGTTCGTGGAAACCACCCAAGTCAGTTGACCTTCACTTGGGAAGCCTGTCAATCCACTTTTCTACTCTACTTAGAATCATGTCAACTCCCCAGCCCTCTGTCTTAATTTACTCTGTAATAACCTTGATCACCTCTCTAGTTCAAAAAAGATTTAGGACAGAGAAAAACTAGGATGTTATTGATATAAAGTGAGCTAGAACAATAATCAAGGGCCAAACAATGCAAGAACTTCTTGTAATCAAGGATTTTAAAAATGTGGAGGATTTTGGTCTTTAGCTCAATAATGATAGAAAGCTTTAAGTATTTGTAAAGCTTTAGGGATTGGTGTATTATGGGGATGACATTTTCTCCATTATTTCAATAATAGGGAGAAACTTATTCTAGCCAAGAAGAACAAAGTGAGAACTGCGTTTTAGAGATCAGTCTTGGTGTAGTATCAAAAATGGGTTAGAATGGGGGACACAAAAATTGAAGGGAAATCTATTCAAAGACTAGTATATTATTTTAAGTTAGAGATGATTATATCTTGGAAAATGGACGTGGAAGATATGAAAAGTGTGAATGGGTAAAAAATGCATTAAAGATAAAAATATATGGATCTTTAGAAGATGAATACAATATTAGAATGTGAAAAGAATGATATAAAGGTTGAATCTGAAATTGGTACATTATGCAAATAGATGCATGGTGAGATCCTTTAATAAGATTAGAAATATCAGAGGGAGCAAACAAATTTTGATGGGAAGGCTAGAGTTTTGGTCATTGACGTAGTGAGATTGAAGAATCACACTGAGATGGAAAATAATACATGAGGGGCCGACATTGTGGTGTAGTGGATAAAGCCACTGCCTGCAGTGCTGGCATTCCATATGGGCCCCCGTTCGAGTCCTGGCTGCTCCACTTTTGATCCAGCTCTCTGCTATGGCCTGGGAAAGCAGTAGAAGATGGCCCAAGTCCTTGGGCCCCTGCACCCATGTGGGAGACCCGGACGAAGTTCCTGGCTCCTGGCTTTGGGTTAGCACAACTTTGGCCCGTTGCCGCCATCTGGGGATTGAGCCAGTGGATGGAAGACCTCTCTCTCTCTCTCTCTCTCTCTGCCTCTCTCTAACTCTGACTTTCAAGTAAACAAATAAAATCTTAAAAAAGAAAATAATACATGAAGAGTTTTAGACTTAGAAGAGAGGTGTGAGTTAGATTAGAATTTTTCAAGTCACATAATTGATAACAGAAGTAATTGCCTGTTGAAATATAACAGAATGTGAAGAAAACAAAACAAAACAAAACAAAACAGCTCCCATGATTGAGCCTTAAGAAACTCTAACATTGAATCCATAGATTAAATGTAGAGAAGGGTGAGTCTGAAAGGGAGAGAGAGAGAGAGAGAGAAGAAAGAAAGGAAGGCAGGCAGGAAGGAAGAAATGGAGAGAGTGAGAATTACCTAAGGAAGAGTGGCCAGAGAGCTAGGTAGAAAACCAGTAGATAAAGGTATCCATGGAAGCCAGCAGATCAACCTTTCAAAAAGAAATGAGTGGTTAGTGTCGAATTCTAACAAGAGCTGAAAAATGTCCATTGGGTTTGGCAATGAGAAAAGCAGAGACCAAATCAGAGTAGGTTGAATGTTAGTAAAAGGTGTGTTAGTCAACTTTTTGCTACTACAATGAAATGCATGAGGCAACTAGCTTTATCAAGACAAAAGGTCTATTTAGCTCCCAATTTTGGAAGTTCATGTCCAAAATTAGATGGTCCCATTGGTTCAGCATCTAGTGAGGGCTTTCTTGCTGGAAGAGTCTTGTGATGGTATAGGACACCTGAAAATGACAGAAGACAGGGAACACACACTGTCTATGTGGTCTCTTACAAAGTACCTAGGATTTAGTCACATGGGCTCTTCCCTAAGGACCCAATCCAGTTTCCCAAAGGCCTCACCTCTAAAAACCATGGTTGGATTAAGTTTCTATCTTCTTAGTACCATTAACACAAGAGACCAAGCTTTTAACTCACAGGCCTTAGGGGGACATCTAGCCTCCAAATTCATACCCAGATCATAACAGTGCTGAAAAGGGAAGGCCATTTATGACTGTCTGGAGGTTAAGAAACTTGGTCCTAAAAGTGAAGAAAAAGGGTATCCGAGTAGAAAAAAATTGGGTCAAAATTATTTTCAAACATTTTTAGCATTCTTAAATGTCACTAGGAACGACCCGTGTTAGGAAGCAGTTGACTACACAGGTGAGGGAGTGAAATTTGTTTCATAATGAACGACTTCTGCAAAATCAGGAAAACAGAATCCGAGACTCTCATGTGAATGGATTATGTGGAGGGACATGCAAAGAAAGTACAAAGGTATTGTTGAGAAGGGGAATTTATAATAGGGAAGCAATAAGGGTGCCATACAAGGCTGAGGACCTATTTGTTGTTTGTTACCCCAAATTTATACACTAGCGAAACCTACTGTGTGCCTACCTGTGGCAGTATTGGTCCAGGTCGAGGATTTTCTAAACACCTGTGATAAGGAAATGGAGAGGCAAGCAGCTGATGTGATTGGCAGGCGTGGTGCTGATCTTGTGGGTTAGTCTCTGGGTGGAGGAAGGAGGTCGCTGAAGAAAGAGTGGGCAGGTGGATTAGGAAAATGGGGGGACAGGGGACAGAATATCCTAATGAGGTCAAACAAGGTTGGAATCATTTGACTTGACCCTTGGGTGAGTAAGCAGATGTAGAGGAGGTTATATACAGAGAACAGGATGTTGGCACTAGCAGTTTTGGAAGTGGTTCAATATTACAGCCTAACAAATCTGGTGTGTTACCAAGGGAGTTTTTTGAAAGTATCTTCTTCTTCTTTTAAAGATTTTACTTTTCTTAATATTTATTTGTTTGAAAGACAAAGTTACAGAGAGAGAGGGAGAGACAGAGGAGGATCTTCTATCTGCTGATTCACTCCCCAAATGGCTGCAACAACCAGAGCAGGGCCGATCCGAAGCCAGGAGCCAGGACCTTATTCTGGGTCCCCCACATGGGGGCAGGGGCTCAAGCACTTGGGCCATCCTCCAATGCTTTTCGAGGCTCATTAGCAGGGAGCGGGATTGGAAGTGGAGCAGCCAGGACTTGAATGGGTGACCACATGGGATGCTGATGTTGCAGGAAGCGGCCTACCCCACTACGTCACATCGCTGGCCCCCAGCATCTTCTTGAAACCATGCTAGATTTGAACGTTATTCACTCTGCAAAGTTAATATGATTACAATTTTAACCTTCACATTGAGACTTCAACTATTTTTAAAATAAATCCAATAGGAAAATATGTGTTCCGTCTCTTAATCCATTTTCAAAGACTTCATTTACATGGTTTTAACTGGTTGCAACTGTAAAAACTTATATTTAGG